GCGTCATTGAACGTTGGTAGGGTGGGGTACGTATCGCCAATACGATTTGAAAAGTAACCAGAATTGTAGAGGTCGGGTGAATAGCGGAACATGCCGAGACCAGTCGCAAGGAGTCCGGCCATGCCGCCAAGAAACACCACAGATCCCATAGCTGCACCTGCCGCGGCCAGTGCTTTGCCAACAGCAAATACGTCCATACGAAGCGATTTGGAGAGTTCCTTCGCAACTTTGGTTGAGGCCCGCGCAATTTCTGTCATATTGACGGACCGGTAGAATTTACCAAGGCTAGGCATTCCTGACACCGTATTTGTGATTTGTTTGATCGAATCTCGTAAGCCACGCTCTTCGATGTTATTTTCCTGCGCCGTCACCACTATTACGGATCCTAGGACAAGCGCCCAATATAATCCACTCTGAAAGATCAACATAATGATGATGCTTTGCTCCTATTCTTGCCTACGAACTCTTCAATTCTATTCCGATTGAATTTACGCCCGAAGCTTCTATGTCGCAGTTACCAATCTTCGCGGCGCACCCGATTTTAGATCAGGACTAAAACGCGAGAAGCGGTGCTTCATGTCATGTGGGCTGTAGCTTTATACCCAACAAGGAAAGGAAACACTTGCCCGCTTTCGCCTACTTGCCCTCCCTACTACGTGGCCAAATGCTCCTGCTTGCCTTCTTACTTTCCCGCTACGACACAGGAACGCGCATTGCAACCGCACAGCAAAATGCGACACCATAATACCAGGAATTCAACTCACCTGCTGTCAGAATGGTTTAGTCGGTTCCTTGTTGCTAGGGCTGCCCCTGTCATCCTTGTGGATTGCCCCACAAGACATTTTACATCTATCCTTTCTTGAACGTCTGCCACTTCTACTGACGTTCTAGTAACAGTGACATGTATTCCATGGGCAGGGTCCGTGTGCGATGACGTTGACGAAACAACGAACGCCGAAGAACGAACAACATCGCATCAAGAGAGTTCACACACAACGATATATGCACACGATGCACTTCAGCTATCTGAAAGAAAACGAGGCCTTACAGCGATATGAGCCACAATACTCAATCAAATGAAAGACAGGTCCAAATTGACTCCACCAATAAAGGTAACATTAAAATAATAAGCTCATGATAGATGATGCTAATAATAAATACAGCATTAAATATATGTATATATATATATATATATATACATACATACATATATATACGTAGGGACGCTCGAGTTTTCTGCTACCGACACAGATGTGAGCATCAAGTATGTTATCCTCGTACGGCGTAACCTCTTGTGTACTAATGGACTTCCGGGAAAATCATTTCGTACATCTTTAGCGTCCAACGTTGTCAACAATGCAAGATTGTCTTCGATGCTTCAATGATTTCACATACTAGTGTTTTAGAGTCTCCTGTTGACAGAAAACGTCTCGTAAGAGACGGTGTGTTGACGGATTAACACGCAATAAACTTGAATATCATAATCTTTCTCGTTAGAGCTGTATAAGTACACACTTATCATGAAGAGCTTCCTTGCACACGCTCACATCACTGTCAAGGATCACATCTTTTGGTACCTAGCGTCGTGTAAACTCAAAACGTAAATCATTTCCCGTACAAAGGTGTTCTTCCACCTATTTATTTCTACTAATGATTAAGTATACTAACACATGAATTATAAGTGTTTGGACTTTCAGGTGTTTCATGGATGAATTCAAAGACGTTGTATTACTAAATAAATGATGTATAATCTGTCTGGAGCTGATTTCCAAGATGTTTCACCATAGAACCAATTGTTTATTTTTGTCTACTATCTACATAGATTATAACTAATTAGACCATTTAGCGCGATGTGCCTACAAAAAACGTACAACAAATAAGCTGTACTCATACGGATAAATACGCCGATTTGGAGAATTAATAGAATAGGGACGATTATGAAGCTATTGACATTGTTGGGCTGACTAAGCCTCTCAGCACCGGCGAGGGCATGCTTACTGTGGTCACCTATAAACAGGGGATATTAGAAAAATGTGTAAAATCTATACATTTATTTGATGTGAGCCTCATTGGTTAGATTCACATGTACCGTAAAGCTTAGCTATGATTCATTCTCGGACAGTGGCGCAAGCACTGTCATGCTTAACGAAGAGAATACACTGCCACACAAACATTACATAGATATAACTGTATATGTATATGTAATTCGGCAGTGTACTTATGTCGAGTTGGCACGCTCGCAGATACAGCGCTACACTAAGCCCGCTATGGGTTGCCGCTAAGGAGCTGCAAAGGTTAGCCACCCCGACGATCGTTCATTGATCTGCGACTTGAATTATGGTATTCTCACCAGATGGGCATCGGAAGTTGAGGCAAATAGTCCGCCGGTTGCTGACGTTAGCTACTGCTGACGCAGCTGTGGTGAAACCCACCCCGGAACCAGCCGTATTCTTCGAGTCATCGATCTAGCGGTGGCCATTCATTGCTTTTAGGTAGCCACAGCCACAGTCAATGAAAAATTAATCAATCGTACATCTGTAGCGGCGGGGCAGTGAATACGAATCAACATCGCATTGGCCCACCAATATAGATATGTGAGATTCTAGAGAATCATCGCCATATCTGCTCGTGTCGAAGTCGGCTAGCAGTAGTAGTAGTAAGAACAGTGATAGCAATGACGAAGAAATCATGTTTTACATAGCATCGTAAACACCTTTCAGCAATATATACACGCAATGGTAGAGATAATTTGTTTCACAAATAAATGTCTAGTTAGAACCTGCTAGATCAATCTTGGCAAGTCATTAGAACTACTATATACAATACAATAAACTTAATCGTAAAATAAGGAAGTGATCAACACTTATATAACGTAGCCGTGGCAGAAGTGGAGAACGGAAGATCTTTCCTTGCGTATCGTAGCTAAAGTTGGTCAGTGGGTTAATGCATCTACAATGACCAATACTTTCATATGAATTTAGTAGCAGATCGCACTGCATGTAACTTCACTTTGGATATTCACATTATATATATGTGTATATATATATATATATATATATATATATATATATATATATATATATATATATATATAGAAACTAACGCCATGAATATGTCACACGCTTGCTAATTAGCTAGCCAGGAAGTTCAAGATATGATCCGATCCAGCTAACCTGCAGACCTGACACGCTGGTTACGTACAGATATGTTTCAATTGTGCCATTCTATATATATATGTGTGTGTGTGTGTGTGTGTGCAGTGTACTGTTTCTTATTTGCAGTACATTTTGGCTTCTTTCTCTGCTTGCCCCTGAAAGCCTCTAAACTTAGCTGGGTTATAGCCGTTCATAATTAAATAAGAAACCAACTACTCCAACAAAAATTTAATTACACCATAGCGGGTCCCGATCGTTACTGTTAGAGTGTACAAGTTAATATGCATCCGTATGCTTTCCATGATCTCAAATCCAAACCTGTCTCGAATTCAGATTTAGACAGCACAATCAAGAAGGCTCTTGCAAACAAATATTGTTTCAACTCTAATTTTCCTACCAATAAATTTCATTCATCTTCTAGCGTCCTATAGTGGAATAACCCAGTTGCAATAACCCCTCTGAAGGATAGTAATAGACTAGGGTCAATTTGAGAAAATTTTATATTGTCATTGTTGATGTTTGGACTAAAACATTCATTATTATCTTCGTTACCGCTGCAACAACAACAGCGTTGTCTGGTTTTACCACTGTCTCAGGCACAATGACTTCACTGCGGCTGTAGACGCAATGCCCGGACCCAAAGCAGGTGGAACCGGCCCAGCATCCTGACCCCATTTGATTCAACTAGTTTGATTGACACCTTCACAACCAGCTTTCTCGCTGCCGGTACATAGGGAAAACGCATTAAAAATCAAACAGAGACGTTAAAGAAGCATTCGATATAGGCCGAGCTGACTGTGCCTCGGATATTTCGGTTCGAGCTTTTTTACGTCGCTCGAGGGCTCGCGCCGTCTGAACGTTCTATATATATATATATATAAATATAACACCTGATAGAGACCCTGCTATCTTATCTGTGACCATTCTTGATCAACATTTAGTCGTACACAAGGTCAACACTCATTCACTCGCATCGTATAACACTCAGGCTAAAGCTAATTTTACATGTGATTAACTATACTGCATGGAATTGTTGATGCTACATGCGATTGATGATGCAATATGTGATTAGTAGTATTACATATGAAAAAACAGAAGAATATCGAGTTGTAGTCAATCAGTACGTTTCTGGCTATAGAGCAATACTTCTGACACTTGACGAAGTTCAAGCGTGCGTCTACGTACCTAGGGATTTGGCAGTATATGCCGATGTGCGTTATATAAATCAATTCTGCCATGATGTTGTCGGCTTACTTGCGACCCAGTTAACTGCAATGTCATGGTTTGTTGTTGTTGTTGTTGCTATTGCTTGTAACTAACTAGGTGAGTATTTAGAAGGACATACCGTTATCATATTTATCCCCTGTTTCGGCGTTCATAAGATTGCCATGGTACGAGGATACGTCGGATTCAGTCACTGTCTCATAAAATTTATGAGCGGACATGAAAAATTCTCTCTAAATATCTTTTACGCCATCAGGATACCTGGAACGGGGGGCCATTTAATCTTATTTGCCCTTAATAGAGATAGTTTCCGTAATTGACGAAGGGATCTACAAGTTTAAGGAACCTTTCAGGAAGGAATAAAGCTTAGAGTGAGGAATTTTGATAAACTATGGCAATCACCTAATTTAACGCAGGCATAGTAATTAATTCTGCTGTAAAATGATGGTCAATAAGGGATTCGTTTAACTTATTCTATTACTAACTGATGACGCGTAAATTAAGCTACCTGGCTGCTGTTAGAAGCATCTAACCGAGATGAAACTTCCAATTTAACGCTACTGCAAGTTACAGTGACAGCTGTGAAGAAATATTGACCGATAACGCAAAATCATTTTGTTGCAGCAGTCGACAATACACAGTGTGATTACTCGATGACAATTTTAGACCGCATCAGACCACTTCAATCGAATCGTAAGTAAACGATGATTTCAATCACCCATTAGTATTCCCCTGACTTCGCTTAGCCTATGGCCTATCGTGACCAAAAACACCTCTATAAAGGTGTTACCTACGAAAGAACTCTCTAACAAAATTGTAATATCTAACACTTCGCTGACCAAACTAGCATAATAAACAAATAACGTTATTATATGACTGACATCATATCGTGAGCGTCAAATTTACCATCTTTCCTATATTAGGTTCAGTAAGAGGAGTCGGTACACTACAGGCAACTCACAGGTGTACAAGCATGACCTTCGAAGCTTTTTCGTTAGAAGCGTGCATAATCATGGAAACCGTATGGAAAAAATACCTAGGATAATATTTCGTTCTAGAAGGATTTAGTCGCGGCCTTTAAGGTATAGGAGCTTGCTCTAACTAGGACTCATAAGGCTGGTGCTTGATTCGAAATAAAAGCAGCGATGTGCAGACGCGTGGATTTTTTCTGTAAAAGACCACGGATAGAATGAGAGTTTGAAATATGTGTCTCACTTTGTTTACCCAAATGCAAGTTATCAGCTGAAAGCAGCATCGATTTTTATGGATGGCCTAAAGTACAGGCCACCACGTATACGAGAGATCGATTCGGCCTCTGGCTGAACATTAGCGATTGTAAAAATATGCGGTGCAGTATTATATAGAGATATGGTAAACTTAGTGGTAAGTTTACTCTTCAACTAGTATAAATGACAGCTGAGTGAGTATCGTTAGTTTAAAAGTTAGATATCATCTTGTAAATGGAATGGCATTAAAGAGAAGAAGTGTTTCTTCGCTAATATTTATTTTCAATTTACAACAAGACATCAACATATATATACATAGTGTCGTAAATTTTCTAGTAGGACTTCAGTAAAAACTTCCACTCATGCACGTCAGAAGTTGTCATACATATTTTTCAAAAATAATATAACCGTTTAGAACACTGCGAGCGATACGAGGAAATGCAAATCGAGACTATTATAACACTTTCAGTTCTACATATTTCACGATTGAAATGCCAAAAGAACGAATTTTTAGATAAAAAGATCAGTTCTTCAGTATACTGTTATTAGCATTTTTGTCGTTGTCACCGTTTTGACTTTGGGCATGCGTAAGATTTTGCCAAATCAATCATGGTCTACGCGTCGAAACATCGATACCCATAATATATTGCAACATGAAAATAATCAGATCAATCCTTAGCCTCCGCAGTGAAAAAAATGTCACCAAATCGAACGTGTTAGACAAAATTCCCTTTGCCTAAACTATTGCAATATATGCACGTATATATACGCAACGGCATTGCCCGAAGGTCTGATCGTCTTCTTGTTTCGTACCGATATTCCAACTTGCAAATGTTGGAATAATTATCTTCAGTTTGATCTGTGTTTGTTACGCAGAAGTATCACTATGCTCTTAAACTATCCATAGCCCGAAAGTATAAATACGAATCCGTTTAGTGGAATTGCACTAACAGGTGCCTGAACAAGTGTAGCATTTTACTAGTCATAAATAGATTAATAAAACAACACGCCTTTTCTATTTGTTTCATCTCCCTCAATGTATATATTCGTCTTCGGAACAGCATTGTTACTGAAGATGTTCCTTACTCTTTGGCATGCAAATGCTATATTTATGCTATCGAGGTCTTAAACGTTATATGTATGGAAACATTCCCCCGAATTACTTTTCCCTGTGCTATTTCGTGGTTCGGCCCGCAGGTGCATGCAATGATAACGAAAAAAAAGCCTGTCACAACTTTAGCATCCGCAAACAAAGGGTATCAATTGAGAAAAAGAAACAGCATCCATAATAGTCGGCCAGCATCGATTCACCTGGAATGGTACCTACTTACAGTGTATAATGCGAAGGCACGCAGTTTTCAATACATTACAAATGCTTGTAATATCTATAGTTTAGCTTCTAGGAAAGCGCGCCGGATCAGTCACATTTCGCTCATCCCGTTTCTGTGCTTAGACAGATGTCACACCAGTACCTTTAAATGTCGATAGGGAACAGATATATCAATCTGTTTTCTTTTTCGGTCCAATTTTTTCATCACTCGGTCAGATACGCTCCAGACAACAAAAATCCTATTCGTTTGCGTCGATTCTGCCTTGAGTGTTTTAAAACGATGAATATTATCGCTGCCTTCCTGGCACCAACAACGGCAATAACTATATTATACAACAGTTTGTTCCAGTAATTGTTACCCCGTTCGGCTATACGATGTTAAAGGAACTTTCGCTTCCTTTTTCAGTTATTTTGACCTCAGCTACCGTTGCTCCGCTGTATATTTCCATATTTCCATTGCTGCATCGACTGGCGGAACGGTCCGAATTACGTTCGGAACGGCCCGCCCCTGACTCAATTCCGTCCACAAGTGGAATTCGCTTACGAGCGGCTCTTAACCCGCGAGTAACCCCCCATACTTGATGAGTCAGCAATGCGCTAAATAGTTACTGTGTGCGTCACATTGTCGTGATGTCCATTGCTCTCTTTCGCACTGGCCCGACTAAATGATATCGCGCATCGATCCGTACGTAGTATGTAAGCGACGAATCCCAAGCGAATATCCCTGTGTCTCCGCATGTTTTCAAAGTGGCAGACACATACAAATATACGCCCGCCCGACCGCCCGCCCACCCAATGAGTCAGATTTACACGCAAACTTATATTGTAGACGCAAACGCTTCCGCGCGCGATTTCGCTTACAATATTCAGCCCATCTACTGGACTCCGTCATGTGGAAATTGGCTTTTACCTCTTCCACCTAGACTACTACTATTACAGTTTTCATTACACTTCGTAACACTGTTTGCCCCCACCAACTAAATGGAAATTATTGCTGATCTACTATATATACCTCATCGACATCCTTCCGTTTGCGAGACTGATGGGATGTCCAATGGAGCGTGCGTTCAGTAACAACGTCAACAGCGAAAACAATAAGCAGTGATTTATTGATGTTTACGTCGCCACAAATTATTCCCGTATTAAACGTGTGATACTCGCTGTGATACTAATAGCATATCATATTCATGTACGAGTAAAGTTAACTGTACTTCTTGTAGAAATCGTTTGGTGCATCTCAGCTGTAGGGAGTGAAAAGTACGGATAAACGCTATACGGATTTGTTACAGCCAGCGATTGGCAGTTAATGACGTCACGCGAGTCGTACAATGCTAGCTAAATTACGTACAATATATTACAGAGAGATGCCGGCTGCAGGGGTTTGCAGAACGGCGCCAGCTGTCGATGCAATGCGCGCCGTCCATGCGGCTGCCGCTTTTCCAGAAGGGGGGCGCCAACAAACAAACGACAGGCGTTTATGACACCGCTATGGCCTTGTCGCTGCTATTACAGCTGCGACCACTTCTGTTGCTCTGTCCACATCAGTTCAGAGAACTGTGCCTTCACTGAACGATACTGGGTCAGTGGCTGGCTCATTGTCTCAAAATATCTTAGCGGCACTTCACTACGCAGAGCCGTTAGCAATAGCGAATTCGATTTCCTTGATTGACTACTTTTCATCTTAGTTTTCTACGCTTCTGCTTTGACTGACATTGATGGTGTGCGTCTGCTAGCGAGCCTACTTCATTTTCGTCAGTAGCGCCGACTGCTGCTACCGGTGCTATTGCGCTGTCTGCGTTTCTTTCCCCGCCGGGTTGTGAAGTTGCCACCATGCCCAAACAGTTAGGCCCCAATGGACTGTTCAGCTGCTGCTTCTACGACACGGCTGTCGTGTTTCCCACAGTGAACATTCCGGCTGTTGACACAGCTCAATCGATTCGTAACTACTACAGGTACGTAAGCATAGACAGAGGCAGGCACAGGGGTATGGGGTTTGCCCACGCAGAACGTTCACTTTTGCACTTGAACATTGCTGCTGTTCGACAGTCACTGCGGGTAGCTCCACTGCGTGGAACACCACCTACCTGTGGGGCAAGGGGTAGCATGGCTATCGGCGGTAGTCAGACAAGGGACGCTGCCTCTTGCCGCATAGGGTGGGACGAACAGACGCCCTCCGTTAAAACAGCCACTGCTAAACCAAAGACGCAACAACAGCTGCGATATAAGCAGCATTTGCTCAAAGAAAAGGTCATACTGACTTAGCACAGCTGAGACGAGACGTATCACAGCCGTAGCGTTCGAACACTGATTGTTAGGAGCTATATAACATTTTTTACTGTATTAAAGGAGATCACTTGTTCAAAGATCGGCGGCGGGATGAAACTTGTCGCGGTGCTCTGTGTGTGTGTGGTAGTGACACTGGCGAAGAACGCTAAGGACGTCAGGGAAGAAAAAGATATCAAAAACGTCGATGGTGCTGCCTCTTCGAAGAATCCAAAGGACGTACCGCGGGAAGGCCGTGGACTCAAAGAGTCGCTTTCGGGTATTTCGGCAGCGCTTAAAGGCTTCAACCAGTTCAACTCCATTATGAGCGGAGTGAACGTCACCGAGATCGGTGATGCTTCTACCCGTGTGGCCAAGGAGCTCTCCAAGTCGCTTAAGATCGATGTCTTCGCCGTCGGCAAAGCGTTGGCTGGGGCTGGAGCGGCTGTGGGCACAACAGTGTTTCTAAGCGGTATGGCCGCTCTTTTAGCCACTGGTCTTGGCTTTTTCAACTATTCCCCTCGTTTGTACGAGACCGGTTATCCATTTTCGCCTTCTGTCTACCAGAACCGGGTGGGCCCTGGTTATCCTGGCGTTCTCGGCCAGGCTCAGCAAGCCGTCTATCAGCGAACGCAACAGGCTCAACCTACATATTCCACTCAAGTAGGCTATGGAAAGGGCATCCCCACAGGCCAAGCTTCGCTGCCGGTGCAACACCGAATCACTGTAGGCCAGACAGGTCAGGAAAAGCAAATAGCACAACCACAATACCCTGTCTATCATGGAACGGGTCACACGGAATTCGGTGAAGTGAGTGCACGCACTGCTCGTGTCCTAGAAGAGGTTAAGCAGCCATCAAATCCCGATCTAATACC